AAAGTAAATTAATGAAAAGAGTTTTTATAATTTTTTGCCAGGAACATGAACTCCGTCCTTACCGTTCTCTGATACGTGCCTGTAATAACGTCACGTACTAATCCTATTAAGTCTTGATTTTTTCTGTTGTAATATTTGTTCGGCGTAAGTGAACTTTTTGTTACAAAATAAGATAAGGAAATTGCAACTCAAATATTTAATTTGAAATTCTTGCTTTGATGATTTATTTATTTGCATAAGTTTTTATATCTGTATTAAAGTTTAATTGATAATAACATTTTATTATCACTTAATAAAATATTCAGTGATAAGGGACAAGACAGGCTACTTGATGTTATTTGAGAGAACGTGTAAATAAAAATTCACAAAATTTCAATTGGTTTTTACAATTGAAATTTTATGATTTTTTGGTATAAGGAGTGACGTCTTGCCTGTCATTGTTATCTAAGTTACAAGAAGCTTCTAAGGTATTCTCACTAGCAAATTACTAGCAGTAATTTCAGTAATTGTCAGGTTTGAAATTTTCTTTATGATAATATGCAATAAAGTAAATTAGGATGAAAGTAACTTATTGAAAAAACAACTTATAGTGTGTATATAAAAAATGTTCGAGGTCATATATTTATATGAGACGTAAGTTATCTAAAAATATATTTAATTATTTATTCATATCAATACAAGAAGAATCTTTTCTAACAATCCTAATCACCTCATGTGTATGCTTTAAGTACATACACACCTGATTACTATAATGGCCTATACATACGAGAAGGCCTTGGTGTAATGAATTATCTTATTGTTCCATGGTCCCAGGCCTTATAGGTCACGAACCTTCCAATGGTCAGATGACAATAACACGGACGCGTGGTTCCGCCATTTTGAATAGACGCCATATTGGTCATCCATTTTGTGTCAGCCTTGTTTCTATTGCGGTGGTTTAGTTTTACGTGCGACGTCTAGTTAATTGATTTGCTATGTTTTCATTATTGAACGAAGTACGAAGGCTGTTTGTGATTCTAGGATTAATAGTACGACTATATTTTACACGTTTTCTTAGATAATTAAATAAAAGGCAAACCTGCCTGACTTATATATCAGGCAGGTTTGCCTTTTATTTAATTATCTAAGAAAACGTGTATATATCAACGTGCAGCCAAAACCTACCTACAAACTTGAAATTTGGTACAGGGGTTCCTTTCATGATTTAATCGCTTATATAGAATAAGAAAGGATTTTTAGAAATTTAGCCTTAGGGGTTAAACAGGGGGTGATATTTATATGATATAAGTATGTCAGACTTGCCTCTTATAGAGATATAGTTAAATTACCACGCGTGCGAAACCGTGGCGCAAAGCAAGTCATTGATATGAATCATCAAGGCAAGCCGTCGGAGTATAAACCGTCCAAACATAATGGTAATTTGTTTAAATAAAATTTGTATCATTTCACTTACATGTATTTTTTTCTAAATCCTATTATTTCCTATTGATATTAAAATGTGAAAGTTTCTTTGTTTGGATGTTTGTCCGTCAATCACGCCGAAACTACTGAACGGATTTTGATGGAATTTGCTATACAGATAGAGTATTAGCTGACTTAGATAATAGGATACTTTTTATCCCACTAAACATTTCCCTAGGGTACACGCGGGCGAAGCCGCTGGCGAAAGCTAGTAATATATATGCATACTAAGTTAGATTGCTCAGTGACTCATCGTCTCTTAAGTTTTCGAGCTATGCCGTTAGCAAAAGAAATGCATTTTCGATCATTTGCTTCTAATGCACAGATAATTTTGAAGGATATAATTATAAGAAAATTATAATAACGTTTCAAAATTTAATCAAAATAACAACAAAACTAAAAAAACATATATTCTGAAATATTAAAATTACATAATTGCGATCAACCTGTTCAGGCCCGTAAAAGCCATTTATGAACCCCCAACCTTTTGTGCTGAGGTCTCAGAAGATGGATATAAATTCAGAGTGTCTCCTATAAAACAAGTAATAAGCCTATAGGTGACTAGGTTGAATTGTAACATCCGTCATTGCATTGTGGATAAACAATGCGAAAACAGTATTACCGGCGTTTTGTAAGCCAAACGTTCTGTCACCTTTACGGTGTATTGGCAATTTGTTCAGGCTTAGGTCAAATTGTTTTATTTATTGTTGTAATCAATAACTAACTTAGTTAGAGGCGTAATGTTTTGACATAGAATCTTATTGTTTTTGAAGTAGTAAAAAAAGGCATTATACGTGTCGCAAATTAAAAATTTAATAGCTCTGTATAAAATTTCATTCCTATTGTCATAGGACAAGTCTAATAATATCTTATTTTTACCTGGAAGCGAATTAAAGACTTTTTTAAGTTGCACAATTTATAAAAGCTTATTAGCATTTAAGGCCTTTATGTGGACTTCATTACTTATTATATTGCCGTTTAGTTACTTTTTTAAACAAAATTCTTTTTTATATTTTAAATGAACACCGTAATTTAGGTATCGCCTTAAAAACTATCCTACTGTCCTTCTCAATCTCCAATTTGTCTGTGTACCAAATTTAATTACAATTGGTGAAAACGTAACAGACACACACATAAGACTTTGACTTTGTATTTAATTTATATACATACACAGGGCTCTATATATTTGCCTGTGACTACTTCTTTCAAAATTCATACTAATACAAAATAAAGTATCTCGTCCGTCTGCCTACTGGCCTGTTTGTCTATTTGTATGCGATTAACGCTAAAACCTTCGGATATGTTATAATGCGTTCTATCAATGGAGGTAAATATAGATATATATTGTATTATAGAATAAACAGTACAATTTTAGGAAGAAAGTTTCGGTATGAATTTTATACATAAACCCAAAGAGATTTAATACATAATTCGCCAAAGTGAAAAAAATTGATTACAAAAGACATCAACTGGAAGTTAAGAATGATATAGTTCTTAATGGAAATTGGTTAAAAAATCCACTCAGTCCCTGGCACTCTGAAATGGGATGTAGGTTTGAAAGATTTTGTTAAAAATATATATTTCTTAGAATCTATCGATTATTCCATGTGACGCTATGTGTACCTACCAGTCGCCGTCCGTCATGTCTTTATCTTGATAAGATCAATGGCGTATAAGTTAATAATATGAGTGTGGGAACTAATTACTGTATTGGAACTGGGTCGTGATCTTAGATATTTTTTTTTATACTTTTTTTGTCGATATTATTCAAATGACCTTATTACTATTGCAACGATTGAACTAAAGACATCGACAAAAACTTGGACAATTTTTTTCTCTATCAAACAACAATACAAAAATTATAAGGTACCTGTTGAATCATATTTAATACAGCATAAAAAATGCACAGACATAAAAACATTAAGCATTATATAAACAATAACTCTAATATAAAGGATAATATTCATTTGAGAGTTATTTTTTTTTATGAAATTTGGTTGTTTCTTTGTTTATATTAAATAAGCTCCGACTCTACTGGAATGATTTTAAAATTTCTTTCACCTACGAGAATGTACATCAGACGCGGGTGACAAAGGCTTTAATTTCCGCGGGAGAAGTGACACGAAAACAGTTAGTATGTAATAAATATTATTTAAAATTTGTTTTTTTTCACTTTGCATTGGAGTATCTTTATCGTTACATTTTGGGTGGAGATAGTAGGGAAGCTGGACAGTGACATAGTCTTTTGAAAATCTATATAAATATCTAAGAAATAACAAGAGAAATATACAAATTTTAACTAAACTAATCAAAAAAAAAATATACTAAGAACTCTGAAAAGTTACGTTTCCAAAAATAACCGAATTCGTTGTAAAATGAACATTAAGTAATTTTTAATAGAACACATATTAACTTTTATATTTTAATTACTATGAACTTGAAAACATAGATGATAAAGGAATAGCAATAATATAAGGCTCCCATTAATTACTTTAAGACTATAAAATTCTTATATACATGCGATGTAAAAGAACTGATGCAATTATAGTTCTACTTCGCTTCCAGTTTAAAAGATGTTAAAACACTTGTCTTAGAAATTAGAAAACCTCAACGCGATTGCTCATTAATAATGAATTTCTACACCAGTTCACATAAAACGAAATAGAGAGCCGTTGAAGACGATAATTGGCTACACGTACAATATTGTTTTTTTTAGAAGAAACCATAGTGAAGACAGTGTTTGGAAGAAACGCTGTTATTTATTGAAACCGGCTCATTGTTGCGATATGTGGGAAATGTTACCCCGGAAGCTTTCGAAGTTGGAAGCTCGTGATTTGTATGGGAATGCGTAAAACAGATAAGATAGGAAAACAGTGTGCGTGTTAGGCAATTTGATACGCGTTAATGTTTGCTATTTCTAAACTTATTATATCTCAAATTGACAGCCAAAATACGTATAATGAGTAGTAGGGAACAAAATATTAGACGATACAAAAGTACTTGAAAGAAGTTTATTTGAATTAACGTATTTTGACATTGACTTTCGCGTCTTTCAACACTAATTTATTAGGACGTCGTTGTCTTACGAGCCCGAATAGAAGTCTTACTGGTCAATTCACATACGTCCAATATAATTGTCATTAGTTTAAAGTAACATTACTTATACAAATTTTCAAATTTATGTACGTTGTGAAACAATCGAAAAGAAGTTTTTGGTCCGACCAAGGGTCAAAAATAAGACGGAAACATCGAGTTCTTCATGCTTGTAATGTAGTACTTAAGTATTTGTTTTTGTAAATTATAAAAAAAAAATATTTAAAAAATATAATTTACTGAATTCAATATTTACAGTACTGGGTTTATTAAAAGATTAATACGAGTTTCCTACCATGTCGATATACCAACTAACACAGATGTTATTGAGAACAACCTTACCAAAATTAACGAATATGATATAATTAATGAGAACTATTCTATTCACTATCTTAGTTGTTATGAAACTAAAAAAAATTAAAGTTGACTTTTTTTAAACTACTTACTGCTGCGTGCTGGGTTGCATCATTCACGTTTGTTTCAAAGTTCCACTGCGCCGCCACATTATTTGTGCACTCTTTAGAAGCTTGATCATCAGCTTTAACCAAAAAGTCTCTTATCTGTTGCAAGGTAGCTCTATAGTTTATATCATCTATGGTATTAGACGTAACACCTCTATTGAAGTCGTAAGGATTAGTGCCTACGTAATTAGGATCATTCCTAACGAAATTAGGGTCGTTTCTTCTAAAATTAGGATCATTGTTTATATCGATCCTGTCATCTCTATTAGTTTCATCGAACGGCCTTAACGTAGAGCTAGGATTTCTTCTATTACCGTAGTCCAAACTAGGGTATCCATTATTGCTTATATCTGGACTGATCCTATTGAAAGGGGTGGTTGAAGCTTGGAACACACCAGCGGTGGAACTAGGCGTTCTTACTGTGCTGAAGCCGAAATTCTGATTCTGCACGAACTGGTTCCCCGGTGAATTTATCGAGGGTTGAGTACTCGATAGGCTACCGAAACCATTATTGTACCTCTGCGTGCTAGATATCGGTGGTAAATCTAATTGGGGGTCTGATAAAGTAAGGCCGGTTAATAGGAGCACTATTTTTATTTGTATCACAGTTTTTATTTTTGCGTGTGCACAGGCCATTTTCGCGGTTTGTTCACCCGTTGTTGCGGCTGCGGTGTGCGGACTCGCGGCTGCAACTGTGCTGTGTCGTGGGTCGCCGTCAGGTTCTGCCGTGCGAACTGTTCCCTCGGAGGCCGTTGATCTAATCAGTTGTGTAATTGATATCACCGATGTTTGTTCTGACGATCGATCACGGCGGCAGGTGGAGTACCTAGAGGTGGGTGGTGTATTCGAAAATTGATACGGCGAAAGCTGGAGAAAACTGTTCGAGATCTGAGTAAGTTTCCTTAGGTATCGTATACCAAATCGATCTTTAATTAGTATTTTAAAGCCAAAGCAGCTTAAGGATGAGTTACAATTAAGTAGACTTAAAATTTAAATCAATTTAATATTATTCCGTACGTTTCACTTTTTTTAGTTTTCTTAGTTTTATCATAGCTTTGTTTCATTGTCATCGTGATTATCACTTATTAACCGACTACGTAAACCAACAGGAGGTTATATGTTCGACGGCGATGAATGTTTTTTATAGTATCTTCACCGATGAGCCCGCTAATTGTTCACCGATTTTCAAATTTCTTTTTTATTCAACAGCTTGATGGATCAAGGTGGTCTCATTTAAATTTTATCGAAATCGAATCTATGGTTTTCCTTTTATAACAAAAAAAAGTATGTTTTTCACCGTATATCACCAAATATTTAACACAATATATTCTTTAAAAAAGCGAAAGTTTGCGTATTTTGAACTCATCCAAATCCGAAAGGAGGATTTTCTACGTTCAAGGAGTATGAATATTTTTAAGAAAGAAGGTAAGTCAATCGATTTCTTCTTGAATTGTAAACCAATTTCTTCGCCCGTATCCATTAAAGAGTATGTAGAGTAATTAGTTTCTCATAGATAAAAGACTTTCATAAGTCAGTCCAATAGTTTCGATGCATATCCAATGTAAACAAATAAACAAACGAATACTTTCCTCTTTATCATATGAGTATAGAATTATTGAAAAAAAAAATATTCCATGCAAACAAACAAAATCTTCAATATTTTTTTAATGTAACCCATTATTTAAAAACAATATCACTAAAAAGCAATTTTCTTGAATAAGTAGCTTTTGAGATAAGTATTATTTATTATTAATTTAAAATAGAAGTCAGATTTATTTTTTTATTTTTTTAAGTTTTTTACATTCTGTTTATAGTCTATATAAAAGTAGTAAGTACAATGTACCATTCCTCATAAAATCAGCGAACAATAACCTAAATAAAGACTGCGCTTTTTCGACTGTAAATCGAGATAGATTAAACTTGACATTGAAACAGCTCTTCTGCAATGTTAACGTAATACAATGCTGTATTACGTTATTAACAAGGCTCTTGCAGTTTGATCCACCATGAAATTAATAATAATTAAGCATAATCCGGTGTAAATTATATAAAATTTGACACGTATTATGAGCACTACATTGAATAATAACGTTGATTACATTTTTAACATTATCATTTCATCCCAAGGTAATTATTTCAACCTACATCAAATTAAAGTATGAAATATATATTGAACTTCCTATACATTACTTTTGTAAAATCCCATAATAATTGTCATACTTCAACAAATTTGTAGGATGATTTAAGAAATATTGTATTACTCAAAAGTTTTGGAATAACATTTACAATAACAAATACTTCACGGTGAAAAATATCCCAAAATCACTAATTTAGGTATTTTTTTGGTTAGTAAAAGTCCATACACACGGACAGCAACAGGTAATTTTGTTATTGATCAGAATACAATGTTATTTAAATAAAATAAAATAATAATAAATATCTTCTTAACTATTCATAAGGAAGGCAAAATACACGGGCACAGCTGTAGTGGGGATGGAACAGGGCCGATGATGATGATGGATCTTAAAATATAGTAATCCTATTAATATTATAAATGTGAAAGTTTATTTGTTTGGATGTTTGTCGGACAATCACGCCGAAACTAATGAACGGATTTTGATGAAATTTGGTATACAGATAGGGTATTAGTTGACTTAGATAATAGGATACTTTTTATCCCACTAAACATTTTCCTAGGGACCACGCGGACGAAGCCGCTGGCGAAAGCTAGTAACAAAAATATGTTTGAAATAAAAAAAATGAATTATGAGCGTGCATACAAACGACATCAACGAGTCACGATTTATCTTTCATTGTCATTTTTTAAATAACGCACAATAAATTGGGTATTGACTACAATTTTTTTGGTTTATTCATATCTACTTTTAGTTAAAACTAATAATATCAGGAAATGAAATGAACGATATATAATGCTCCTGAGGTAAGCTCCCCTAAGAATATCCAAACACAACAAAGGTTATGTAAGAAAGTGCCATGGCTCGCGTTACGCAAAACAACTCCCGAGTGTACCGCACCCTACACCATTTGACAATTAGCGCGTTTGGAAATACCCAGTCGACTGACAGTTGACCAAATTTCCATAATTAGTAGAAAGCTTATGAGACCAGTGACTTAACGCATCTCACTTGAATCACCAAAGAAGCGTTCATGTTTCAAAAGTCAATAGGATCTTTTTGATACGGTTTCTTTTTTTTTTTCATTGATAATCTCAATGTTCTCTAGGGACATCTACAGAGCATATTCAGACTATAAAAGTTAGAAATAAGATTGATTTTACCGTTGACAGACATATAATAAGAACAAGAAATGAAGTAATGGATCTTTTATACTCTTTTACATAGATATGATCTAGTTTGTTTTGTGTATTTCTGATATCCTTAACGCATCTTTGCCTGTTTAGTTCGGGCTCAATACAATGAGATGACTCAAGTCCTGAACGAAGAAAAATATACACTATGAGTAAACTCCGTGCTAAAAAAAAAAATTAAAACGCCAGTGAAAACTGAGGCGTGTCGAAGAAAACGATAAGGGGACGAGTGCGATGCGATAACGAAACGGTGACGACATATGTGTCACCTGGGATTAGCTTCACGGAAGTCGTGACCTACTGTGATGTTCAATAATTTCACTACCAAAAGAATATGGTAATTTAAGTTCAAATTCCTTGGATTTTCCTTTTTGCATTTTTATAATTTTAAATCAAAATCATGATGTATAAAATGTAACAGAATTGATCAATTAAAATAAGTCCAGTGTAATTGAAAAAAAATTGACAAATTAACGCATATTTAAAGTGATTTCACAACAATAAAACTTTAATTGTTACTTACCTAAGTCAACAAACTTTTAGTATTCATTAATTACACTATTTTTATTCAATTATAACCCAGTTTTGCAGATAATAAGTAACATTAATAATTAGTGAGAGTTAAATTAAACACGGAATTATGTGACAAGTATTAATTGAAACTTTATGAAAATCTGTAAAACTATTTACTAGAAAAATATATTCATTTGAGAATTTTCAACTTTTCCAATTAGCTAGTTAGTAGCTCATTAATGTAATGAATACTAACATAATTATTTTTTTTTATAGAGGACTAAATATAACATAAGTCAACTTATTAGGTTAATCCAAAAGTAAGGTTATAATAAAATTGAAACCCAATTTTTACAATATAAAATTGTTTAAGTTTAATATTCATGTCTGTTTTATTACTGCTTAATTGACAAGCAGTAAACTCCACAATAGATAGCTACGTTATTATAGAATTTAGGGCATAATCTCGACTCCAAGGCATTGTTCAAATTGACATTATTTATTTTCAAATGTCTATTAATTTTATTTTATTGGCATTTGGAGTCTATATTAAATAGATAAATACTTTATCAATTAATAGCCCTCCTTTATCAGCTTGTTTTATCTATACAAAGATCTACCTTGTAAATCACCTTGTAAATAATATAGTGAAATAAAATAAAAATGTCTTTATTCAAGTAAGCTTGTTTCAAGAATTTTTTGTAGCATCCAAAAAAATCTTTTCCCCTTCCACTCGTTTAGGACGCCTTTGAGTTGACAAGAAGAACAAGCAAAAGAAACTTACCAGCTCTTTATCATAAGTAATCACAGTGTGTACTGTCACATTTAATGATTAAAATATTAAAAGTTCATTATTTATGCACTTGTACTGGTAATTTTAATTGATGGAAATACGACGAACTATTAATTGAAAATTACCGAATGAAATACGACTAAGTGTACTCATGTAAATTGAATGATTAGATCGGAAAGAGTTATGGAATATTGCCATTCGACAAAAAAACCGAAGAAGGTGCAATTGTCTTCTGCGCAAGATGGTATGTAAGATATGTTAAGGAGAAAATTTACACGTGGGTCTATAGAGAGCTGTTATTACCGTGTCAATTGGTATATGTAATGGTACTTTATCTTCGTAAACTTCAATATAGCTCACTAGGATTCCTTGCATAGAAATAAAGATTACATTACCAATAAAATAATGTCAATATCTTCAAATTTTTTATCATATGATCAATTTTGAATTCACAACGTTTTTTTAATTGATAAATATTGGTTTAATAATATAAAATATTCTTCATTAAATTCTCATTTTTTCCATTTCTTCTCGTAATTATATTATTTTTAAATGGCAAATAAATACATAAGTCACTTTACAGCGAAGCACTCGAAGGTACATTTTTAAAATAATCGTAATATTTTTCGAGTAAACTTTAGTCGCACAATGTAATCACCGCTTGTCCCTATCACATTGCCGGGATCGGTGAATTCGTCTGTTTTCTTTTCCCTCTTGACGCACAGCCTTAAAATCAATATTAACATCATTATCAGCCCTTTTACATCCCCACTGCAGGGGCTCAGGCCTTCTTTATGGCTGGACTAATGCGAATTGCAGGGTATGAACGAATGGAAATGCACCCAAAACCAATGTATAAAATATAATTTAAAAATCTAATTAACAACTCTAGAGCATTCCACATCACCTGCGTACTACGTGCGGTACGCAATTTTTCTATTGTGTCAGTTTAGCGTGAGAACTTGTACAAGTACATACGACCGCGATAGTACTCGCTCCATG